GCCTAGAATCCCTATAGAGAAACGCGCCCGTATATACACGCTCCGGAAAGGATATTCGATGCGGGAAATCGCAGCGGAACAAGTAGACCCGGCCGCCGTCTACCGGATATGCAAAAAGAAGGAAGAGACTGGGAGCTTCGACGACAAGCCAAAAACCGGTCGCCCACCAATCCTCTCGACACGCTACGAAAGAACGCGTGCCGATCAAACCACTCCGGAAAATGTTCCGCCGCTGTCGAGGACCAACGAGCGTTTTTGGACGTTGACCTTTCGGTGGAAAGCATACGACGTATGCTCCGTAGAAACGGATTATTCGCTCGCATAAAACGAAAGAAGCCTTACCTCAAACGAACACACAAAAAAACTGGTGTAGGCGAAAAAATGCCGAACTTGGACGGCCGACGAATTTTCGGGGCGGATGGCCGAAAGTATTGCCCCGGTGGTCAGTTAAAAGACCAGCAACCGTCAAATTTGGCGGTGGTTCGATTATGGTTTGGGGGCGACGGTGTTGGCGAGTTGGAGGATAGTGATTTTATCTTCCAGCAAGATAATTACCCAAAACACGTCTCCGGAAAAGCAATGGTTCGCCGACAACGAGATCATTTTGCTAGACTGGCCATCCCAGTCTCCCGACCTAAACCCCATAGAAAATTTATGGAACGAGGTGGATATGCGGATGAGGCAACTTCCTGACCATTTTTAACCACAGAACAGTTGTGGGAAAAGTTGCAAGTGGCGTGGAAGAGCGATTATTGTTCCAAATTATACGAATCTATGCCAAAAAGGATTAGTGAGGTAATAAAAAGTGAAGGGTGGTTATATAGAATATTGAAGTATGTAGTGCAAAAAAATTTAGAAGCTTGTTACTTACCTTAGTTAGAAATTCGCCCTGCAACACTAAATAAAAATAAAAAAATTAGTGTAGCGTCAATTAAAAGATAGACGCAAATCAATTGATATCATCAATACTAGAGATATTGCAGTCAGGGTCACTAGTTGCCTTGTGCTCAATAATTAATGCTGTCTTGTGATGAGACATGTGTGTTGGCCGGATGCCGATGTCATAACGGCCAATGCCCGATTCCCTGTTTGACATTATTTCCAAAATAAGTGATTTGGCGTCGGCCAATATGGTAGTATTTCTCGGTTGTCGACGTTGATAAGTCGAAATACGAGAACGTCTCCATGACATACTTCGGGAACTCCTTGCTATATTCGTCAAGCCAACCTTCCAATCATAAAGAATATTTTGGAAGTTGGGAATTTGGGATTTTCTAACCATTGTAACCATTGGGTCCTCACTTCAATGTTCGGAATTGTCAAGCACATCTGATCTAGTGTGTGAGTCCCTGTAAGATAGCCTACAAAGTACAGATATGTCCATAAACTCTGATCGTCACTAGACTCTAGTTCTTGATAATGAATATCATCCCAGAGAGGAGTGAGGACTACATTATCATCAAGCAACTTCAAAGCCCTCATCTTGAAGTCCTCGGATGCATTACGAAACAGTTTTCGTATAATGTTAGTGCCTCCTAGAGCATTTTGAAAGGCTAAAACTTAATAAGATTAACAAATTCAGCCAAACTCAAATGATACAGACTTACCAGTATTTACCCATGTGGACCAAGTTCCTTTTTATTGACAAGCATTGCAATTGACCAGGGATTGTAAAACTTGGTGTCCCTCCCAGTAATATAACCATCATACCATTTTTCAACACCATCCAGTTGCTTTTTCTGGTTGAAAATGATCAAGGATGACAGTAGCTTCATCCTTGGTGAACCCAAACGTGTCAGCATACTCACTTGAATGCATGGGGTAGACAACTAAGTTATTTAATCCCAACAAGAACCCGGATTTTGCCACGCGGTTTACAACAAGAAGTATCACTTCAATAATGATAGCTCTTACCTTAAGAAGGGATGAATATAAAGTGCCAAAGAAGGCATTGGCTTCTTCAAAGTAACCATTCTGGTAGGCATTATTCACAGGCAATCATTCTCATCAATCAATATGATACACTTATTACTGTTTCCAAGCTGTGTGATCTTCAGGTATTTGGAGAGATCGAAAAGGACACTTTCTGGGTCGATTGCTACTTGTTGAGAGAATATGTCATGAAACTGTTCTTTCTCTGGTGTGGTGAGCACTTCTGTGACATAAATATAATCTGCATGTAGAGTTGCAAAAAATCGACGAAAGACTCTCTGCATCTCTTGCCATAAACATCCTATCAGGCGTGCAGAAAAAGATGAATCAACAACCGGGTGACAGGTAAACCAAGAATATCAAGTGTCCTACCTTGAAAGACTGGTATAAAACCGGAAGCTTGCAAAAGTGTCCAGTAAACAGATCTGGTTCTTCCTTCAGAATATTAGACTCTTTGAAAAGTGCTCCAAGGAATCAGGATGAACAGGAAAAGCAAAGAAATCCTGGTTTGTCGACTTTCCAAATCGTCTGTGCCGCAGAATAAGGGACACGACCGTTTTACTTCTGAGAAATTCAGCAATTAGGAGTGTCTTGTCAACGAACGTATGGCCACGATTCACAATTTCTTGAAAGTTTCCTAGGCTGAGAGGAAGGCCTACATCGTTGTGGGTTGTATGAATAACAGCACCTCCACCTATTGTAATATTGGAAGTGGGATCAACATTAGCTTAATTATTCAGGAAAGCAAATAATGGGAATCTTGCACATACGCTCAATGGCCATTTGCATCTTCACTTTAACTTCCGTTCGTGGTAATTAGAGTGAAAGAATACATATTATGAGAACGGCGAAGCGAGCAAGTACTACGAAAGAGAAAGCTTTATGCTCATAAGTTGAACGGTTTTTTTGCGATCTTTTCTGCTAAATCATTTTCGTCATCTGTAAACAGCAAGAATTGTCAGAAAAAGCTATCAATAAAGCGAACGATCAATGAAAAGTCATGCTTCGGACTTTCCGCGTCGGACAACAGCGTACCTAGGTGGGACCGTTTCACTATGAATGATAAACGTGTGAGCAAAAGCGGAACGATCCAAATACGTCGCAGCGATTATGAATATACCGTCCCGATAACAACAAAGCAATAAAATGAAGTGGTACAAGTGATTAGAAATTGCGAACATGAGCACAATTCAAATTGGAACGCTTCATAAACGAAGAAGCATATTACTATGTCTACTCTACACACTACTCTATGTCCCCAACGCCCGAGTCACAAAGTCGTTACCTGTTTGAGTCGCCGTTGACGTAATATTCAAAATATGAACTAATGAAAATAATAATTTTAGTTCTTCGGTTTAAATTTTTTTCAAATTTTTCCCGATTAGCCAAATTTTTCCAAATTTTTTGAGGATAGATAAAGTTTTCATTAAATATTACTATTTTTGTCATGCATGCATCAGTGTGCATATAACAGGAGCATCACGTGCACGAAAATATCCTGATGACTTTTATGCTGAAAATTCCATTCTCATGTGTCATTTCTGCCATTGTGCCATCAGCTATGATAATATTTCTTCTCATTTACGTACCAAAAAACATACAATAAAAAAAATGAACATATTGAAAATGAATGACGCAAATGGCAACAAGGCATACAAACAGTTATACGAGTTGCAGAGACCAAAAAATCTGTAATAAATAAGTTTCTTAAGACATGGATTAATACAAATATTCCTCTTGAAAAAGTTAATAAATTTCGGCCATTTTTGGAAACTTATTATCACGGAGATGGTACTATTCCTGCTGCTGATACTTTGCATCACAGATATTTGCCCAACTTATTTAAAGATCACATCCAAGCATTGTAAATTGAGTTTCAAGAAAAATCTATAGCAATTATTGTTGATGAAACTACAGATTCTCGAGCTTGTAGTATTATAAACACATTATTCTGTTATTGCAATTCAACAAAGCTTATATCAGTTAATTACTTTGTAAATGATTAATAATACAACTATTAAACAATTAGTAATTCAAATTTTAACTGAATGATCTATTTCTTTTTCAGCTTCACAACTTTTCCTATCCAATTTAGCTGCATATATGAAGAAATATTATCAAGAGATTTTATGTTTATTAATATCATAACTTAAGCATAATACTTGTCCTACATATATATTGAACTTGATTAGATTAGTATTTGTATAATTTTATAATTTTAATATAAATTAAATAATTTATATTTATTTATTTATTAAAGTAAAGCATGAATTTTGATTATATATTTTGATATTGTAAAGAAGCTATTGACAAATATCAAAAAAACTTTCATTTACTTTAAAAGTTATCATAATTATTACATAAATTATTTAATTTAGTATGAAATTCAAGAATTTTTCCATCAAAAATCTCAAGCTACTGACATCATATTAATATTATAATTTTATATCTTTATTAAATATTACTTGGTAGAATTCTTGATTTGAAATAGCTTTTTATATTTATGATTATTTGAAATATATATGTGAATTTTATAAAGAAGAACAAGAATAACAAGAAAAATAGAAATAATTAATATTATTAATACTATTTTTAATAATTCAAATAATAATACTTATATTAAAATTTATTTAGCATTTATTCAATATTAAGTATAATAATTTATTTCAGATTTAGATTTTTTTTAATCTGAATATGATTATCTTTTTTTTTGTAAAAGGATACATTAAATAATTAAAAGTTTTTATTTTAAATAGAATTTCTGCTAATGATTTTGAATGTCATATTACTTTAGTAATTCTTAAGTATAATTCTGATTCTTTTACTTATAATTCTATTTTTCAATCTCAATATCAAGCAAAATGCTCTAAATTTGCTTTAGACTTTTTAAGAAAGACTTTAAGCACTTTTGATCCAAATGTGCTTTTAGTATTGCACAAAAAAAATTTTTTGATCATTTTAATTCACATTCTTCTTATTTTCTTTTTAAAAAGCTCAAATTTTTTATTCTTATTTTCTTTAATTAATTATTAATAATTATGATATTTAAAAATATAGTATTAAAATTTTTGAATTATTTAATTTTTTAATAACTCTTATTTAAGAATAAACTTTTTATTATAATTTAGATTTAATAATAATAACTTATAATTAACTTTATATTTTTTGAAATAATATTATATCTTATTTTTCTTTTTTAAGTAATATAGTATTTGATTATATTTGATTACCTATTTTTTTCTATGTTATTAAAAGAAGTTTTTTATTTTTTAATAATATTTTAGCTGATAATCATCAAAATTTAAGTATGAAATTACTAAAAATACTTAATATTGTTACCATAGTAACATAAAATTCCTTAATTCCTTAATTTTTCTCTAGTTATGAAATATTACATTTTATTATAGTTTTATTTATT